AACGGTTGAATTTAAAGAGGATCCCCACAATATTAAAACAATTAAAAGCAAAAATATCAATTAACCTCTTGTGAATCCTATTGTCAAACTAGGCTGACTGCATATAGAAATGGATAGCATCGAGTTCAGATTGGGTAACTCATTGGCTCCAATACTTTTTAATATGATCCTTCATTATCATATATGGGTCCCTTCCACAAAAATAGAGCTTTCAGATTGGGTAACTCATTGGCTCCAATACTTTTTAATATGATCCTTCATTATCATATATGGGTCCCTTCCACAAAAATAGAGCTTTCAGATTGGGTAACTCATTGGCTCCAACACCGTTTAATATGATCCTTCATTATCATATATGGGTCCCTTCCACAAAAATAGAGCTTTCAGATTGGGTAACTCATTGGCTCCAACACCGTTTAATATGATCCTTCATTATCATATATGGGTCCCTTCCACAAAAATAGAGCTTTCTACAGAGAAGCCTTCCAATTTCTATTTCTTTTATTGGCTGGAAAGCAGCCAATGAATTTGAGAGCAGCAAATATTCCAACTGGGCCAACAGTGAATCGCTCTCCTCCTGCTCAATTACCTCATGGTGCCTTCCCAACAGATCAGACAGCCTCTACATTCCATTATTAGTGACTCACCTTATGCTGGGCAAGCTGCATTTTAATTTTGTCCGGATCGTTTGCAATTTCCAATTCCGCATCCAAAGTCCTTTCTGAATCATCCAACCATTCAGTAAGTTTGATCCAAGCTTCATGGAACTGCAGCAAAATAAGAGGCTCGCTTGTGTTTTTTTTCCAGTGATAAGATTATTAATAAACATTTATTCTCGAGATATTAAATGTGAAAAATAATCAAAACCAAGGACTTAAAAATGGGACCGCGCAATATATTGAAAATAACGGCTCGTTTTTCTTCAAGCAGCCTTTTTAATTTGCAAAATTATTTCACAATACATATTTGTTCTTGCTTATTCTAATTCTTCCAGTAAGGTTGATATAATGACAGGTGTCACTGATGGATAATTAATGCATTTGATGATGCACGAATGTATATGAATAAACCTTGCTATCTCTAATGTGAATTTGAAAAGTATTTTCAACTACTATTTCACTGAGTTGATTGCACAGATGATAATGTCAGGCCTCAGGTAAAGTCAGCGGTACAATGAGTCGTAGAAGAGAGCTGAAATGATGGTTTAAACCAAGTAATTCTGGCAGTATCTCTTCAGCTACCATGTGAACAGATTGATGACGACAGACCACCGTTTATCTAAGTGCTTAGTTTGGGCTTAGGGGAAAATGAAAAAAAGAAAAGAAAAAAAGAAGGGCCTTCTAGTTATTCAGTATCTTTCAGAGAAGCTGTGCATGTGCCTTCTGATCAGAAAATGGGAGGTGATGGCAGAAACCTGTTAATTATATGGGAATATTCCTATCTGCAAAAACAACAGCAACAAAACAAGAAAAATAGCAATAGCAATAGCAGTTAGACTTATATACCGCTTCATAGGGCTTTCAGCCCTCTCTAAGCGGTTTCCAGAGTCAGCATATCGCCCCCCACAGTCTGGGTCCTCATTTCACCCACCTCGGAAGGATGGAAGGCTGAGTCAACCTTGACCTGGTATCCATCTATCCATCTATCCATCTATCCATCTATCCATCTATCCATCTATCCATCTATCCATCTATCCA